CACCCCCACCCCCTCACCCCCACTCGCCATCCCTAATCAATGGCATTGAGAGGGGAGAAGAGGCGGAATGAGGGTGTTATCTCTTTTATCATCCAACATTCCAAAGGAAAAAAAAAATCAGTTAGCCAACATACAGTATGCAACGGCATGACCAATTAAACAGCCAAGTCATTAGGAGAGCCCATTAACACACGGCGACCGATGGAAATCCTTCGCCGTCCAAAGCCCTGCACCCCCCCTCCATCCCCCGTCCCCCCCACGTTGTCTCGCACGTTCATGCAACACACACACACACACACACACACACACACACACAAAAGCATTCACGGTGGCTTAGAAAAAAAAAAAGGAAGCGTAAAATACTCACTCAGTCCTCCGCCAAAGAATCAGGGAACGACCGGGAGAAGACTTTTACAGGCTGACTGTCGACATGTCGTTCACGTTCAGCCGCACTCTCCTGCATGCCTCCTCTCCTCTCTCGCTCTCTCTCTCTCCTGTGGAGGCGGATGAGGGAGGCAGGGAGGATGATGATGAGGAGGAGGAGGAGTAGGAGGAGGAGGATCGGGGGGTGGGCAACGTGAGAAGACTGCAATGAGGAAGAGGATAGAGAGGGCGAGAGGCAGGTTTGGGAGGGAGGAAGCTTTAGGATGCGGGGTCGGCTTCTCCACAGCGCAGCCTCGGGGAGCTGCGGCATCGGACAGCCTGAACGGCGGGGAGCCGGCGCGACGGGGAGCCGAAACGTCGTGCGGCTGGCTCGATGACGAAACAAGAGAAAGCAAAGCAATCAAAGAGAGTCAGGAAATGGTCCAAAGGAAAAAAAACGAAAATAGCCCGTGTAGACGATACAATACGTTGTCATAGGAGTAGAACAAAAAAAGAAAAAAAAAATCAACAAACAACAATTTTAATCGAAAAATCGGTTGTGATTGAACCAAACCGAATCGAATCATTCCACTTTCTGCACCCCATTTATCAAAATACATCTCGAATTGATTTGAGAAATTCACACCCCTAATATATACATATACATGAATATACTAAAATGATAAAAATCATTGAGTAATCGTTTCAGAAACAGTAATCGTGATTTTTTATTTTTTTTTCAAATTTGTAACACCCTTTGATGCCAAATGAAATTCTCTGAATTCAAAAAATATTCCATAGTGACAGCCCGAGCCCAACCGAACTCCTGCCCAACTTTGCAGTCGGATCTTCAACTTTTGACAAACTAAATTTACTCCCAAGACTGTTTTTGGCTGAGCAAAAAAAATAATTCATCATCTCATTTTTGTTTCAGCATCTCAGCCCCGTGCCTTTAAGCGCCAACCGTGCGCGTTGCCATGGCGACTCTCGCCATCTGGCTTTCCGGCACACCGGCAGACACGCGTCAGGCTTTTTTTTTTTTTTTAAACGAATTGACTTTTATGAGAGGAAATCACATCGAGGCCTCAGAAGTTCACGAGGAGCTAAACACCTGTCACGGCGTGAAGAGGAGGAGGAAGTGGGAGCAACAGATGCCACGACACGTAAATTAGCTCCCCGCGCGTCGCCGGTTTCGCTAGTGACTAGCAGGCTTCTTCACGGACTGGCTCGTCATCAAGGACACTTTGATTATTCCTTCACACTCTGCTAGGGCTTCTTTTGTCGCCGCTCCCCACGGCATTGGCAACTTGGGAACATGACTGTTTCCTTTCTGGTCCTGGAGAAGGTGCCAGCGTAGAGATCAATACGGTTTTGCAAAATGTCCAAGCAAGGTCCATATACGTAATACAGTATATATAATAATTGGTTTTCGCATCACAGGTTGCGAGTTAAAAAAATGTTGCCTCTTGAGCCTCATTCAAACCCATTTATTTTGAAGTTTTACGCCACAACTAGCTAGCTAGCTAGCAACAAGCTTCGCTGGCGACTAGTGTGGCTAAACACATCCTGCTCCTGAGTCATGAATCATCACCCCCATGGTGTCAAAAAAGCGACACCTGACAAGTATCATGTTCACAAAGGGATGACTAGGAAAGACGGAGAAGCCATGCTAATTACTAAGCTAACCTGAGATTGACATGGTTTGTGCGATTAACACTGTAATGAAATGCTGAGCATGATCGAGTCCACTTTTCACAGACGTTTGGCTGGAACCGTGTTGAAGTGGAGAATATCCAACGATGAATAACAAAATAGCAAGCAAATGAATAAGTTTCTGGACTCCGGAAAGAAAATCTAGTCGCTAAACAGAACCGGTTACGCTATGCTGTACATCAGCTAGGAGGAGTGGCCAATAACCTTCAAAATGTTTAAGTATCAAAGTGGTGTCAAATATTTACAATATCAGTATAATTTGTTGTTTTTCACAATCGAGTCTTGAGTTTTGATTTTGACTTTTGAGGCCTGCACAATAAATGTTCTCAGATGACATTAAAGTAGACCTTATCGTCATTATTTATTTATTAATTTTTTAAAAAATTTGAATCAATTTAGCTTTGCTTCTTGATAGGTGTGTCACACCAGTTTGCTGTGACTTTAATTTAAGAAATAAAAACTTTTGATTTTATAAAATAAGAGTAACAATTGTTTGTTTGTTGTATTCTTATTGTTTAATAAAACCGCTGCTTCAGGTCCACGGGAATTAACCGGCAAAAAAATTGCTCTTCAAAATTAGAACTTCAAAGAAAAGAAAAGTAATATTGTGCCTTGCTAAATATAGATATGATTAAAAAAAAAATTGAAGCCTACCGACTGACCAAAATGAAGCAGCAGTTTTTTTTTTGTTTATTTGTTTTGTTTTTTTCAAAATTGCAGCTTTTGCGATTTTATAATTGCATTCTTCCTCATGGTGATCTATTTGGATTAAATTCAGTAACCTACTTGGAAGCCACGTTCCTGATCTTGTATTGTTGACACTTTGGGACCATATACCTGGGCTTTTTGAGCAAAGGAACCCCCCCCCCCCCAAAAAAAAAAGCCCCAAGTAGCGATTATTTATAGCCCACTTTTCCCAGGTAATGGCCACCAAATGCTTTACAAGAGCAGGCCCGGAATGCAAAGTAGCCACAGACATCAGCATAAAAGAAGAGCGACAACAAACGCATAAAAACGAGCAGACGGGAAAGCGGGACACAATTACCACTGGTGGCTCGTGACAAAAATGCACAGTATCCTGGGATGCTGATTAACGGTTAACATCTTAAGGTCATTTTGGATTCTTTTTTTTTTTTTGATTGGCACAGGAAAGAGCGACGGCCATGTGCCGTGGCTGCAAATCAACTGTTTACCTCAGAGTCCAATTATTAGCACCATTAACTTTGGCACCTTAAGGGACTTCGTCCTTCTGTACTCTTTTATTTTGTTTGCCGCGTCTCCCTTTTGGAGCTTGAGAACAAACCTCGGAGTCAATAATTAGCCCTTTAGGGGAATGCTAGTGCACCATGTACATTGAAGGAAGTGGACTCGTCCATGTTCCGAGACCCATGAAATGCTTAGCGCCCGCTACATCGCCCGTACGATATCGATACGTTCGCCATTCGTGGGATGATACGATTCACTCCTTTTATTTTCACCGGATCGTACAATTCGCTCCATTTGCAGTGCAGCCCGATACAATCCAAATACGATATCATTCGCTCCAAATGCAAGTCACAAACCATTTCCAGTGTTTTATACGGCATTCAAATGTGTAAGACTACTTACCGATTCACTCCAATACGATTGAGTCAATCCATGACATGATTTCGCTCCAAACATAAGATGATTGATTCCAGTTGCGATACTCTTCACTCCAAATACAACACATTTTACTCCACTTATGATACAGTTCATTCCAGCGACATAATTCACTCCAAGTAAATACGATTTCTTCTCATTATGACATGATTCAATCCAAATCTGACGGATGGGCGAATGCCGATGCCAAGTATCCTACCGGTGCTAAAACCAGCCTTATTTTTAAGGTATCGGCACTCGTGGAGCCTGTCGATACCAGCCACCGATACTAACGGCAATCAAAATCCGACATGGCGTAAGTCCGCCTCAGCAGTAGTTGGCGCTACACTACGGCATTTTGACACATCGGTGAATTGTCATCTGATTCAGAAAGGAAGAAGAAAGGAGTGTTTGGAATTTTTTTCGTGGCGTGAATGTGAAATGTTATATATCAAAAGTACTGCCAGGTATCGCCACTCGGTATCGGTGAGTATTCAAAGAGTGAATACTGGTATCGGTCTGGAAAAAAAAGGTGATATCGAACATCCCAACCAAATACAAATCAATTCATTCCAATTAGGAAACGATTCATGTGGTTAGTGACAAATACGACACAGTTTTGACACAGTTCCTGCCAGATGCAATCACTCCAATTGTGACATAATTCATTACAACTGTGACACCATTGACTTCAAATACTCGATTCCGATGACGACTCATTCCACTTACAATACAATTCACTCCAAACACAAGACGGTTCACTCCATTCATGGTACGAGTCACTTCAACCACGACACAATTCACTCCAAGTGCAAACCGATTCACTTCCAAATAGAATTGGATTCACTCGAGTTTTGACACAATTCACTCGGAATCCAATACGCTTTGTTCCAAACGCAATTTGATTTTATTCCAATAATGAAGTTATTCATTCCAATTACGACATTCCATTCTAGCTGTTATTCAATTCGCTCCAAACCTGGCGTGATTTGCTCCGGTCATGATGCAAATGACACGATTCTCGACAATGACGATACGATTTACCGAAATTATAAACTTAGCGCTTAGTACAAATGTGATTCACCGCAGTTATAATTCATCCGCTCCCGCTGCGATGAATACAATACCTGTACACCCCAAATAGATACAACTAATTTCGAAAGGAACCAAACAAACAAACAAACAACAACTTCATTGCGGATCGGATTCACCCCAATAACAAGGCAATAAGATTTTTCTTCGTTGATACGTGCCACATTTTGAGACTTGCGTGACAAATGACATTCGCATTAGTAAGTAATAAGAGCGAGGGCCTCTCCTAACAGTTGCACATGACAACAAATCATTTTGGAATGACATTTGAAGCCTTTAAAATGATATCCAGGCCATGGCATCGTGGACAATTATGACGACGCATTGATGCGTGTCATCTTCTCCGCCCCCCCCCCCCACCCCAACCCCACCCGGCGAGGCCCTTTTTGCATATCGGCGAGCCTCAGGAAAAGATTTAATAACGACATGTCTTCCACATTACTGCGCTCAAAGTTCAATTTTCAGTTCAATTTCACATCGATTTTGGGGCGCGTGCGTGAAGGTGAATCACCTTGAAGGAAACGGCGGAGGTGCATCTGCCTCCATCTCTCTCTCTCTCTCTCTCTCTCTCTCTCTCTCTCTCTCTCTTTCTCTCTCTCTCTCTCTCTCGATCGCCCCTGCGGCGGTGCGAGGGAACGCTGTCCCCGGAGATTCCAATCAGACGGCACAACACAGACGCTTCCAGTAATATCAGGAAGCTGTAGACGATGGTTATAGATTTCAGGGGCTCTCAGGTGCATTAGGCCGTATCGCGGCTTCCCCACAAGGCCACTTAATGCCTGCGATGGAGGGAAGGAGGCCGGACCAGCTGGCTGCCGGGCATGCATGTGCAGCTATGAACAACAACAACAACAACAACAAAAAAATGCATTTAGACACGTTTGTCAATGGCATGCTGCGGCCGATGTGCATAAATAAAGATCGTCGCATCTTTCCACAGCCGGTAGAGGGAGCTTCCTTCATCAGGAGTCACAGACGCGATGCTCACGGGCACCAGGGACTCTCCAAGGTCCACATGAGTAGCCCCGCGGGCCTCTTCCAGATATAGCTCACCAGTGAAGGAACATTGTGATTTTCTAGGAATGTTGTTTTCATAGACGACCCAATTATTCCCAAAAAAAAAAGCACAGTGACACAAAAATCTCTTCATTCTCCACAATTCTATCTGCTGCTCGTATTATGAATGTTTTGAGCAAGGTTTCTGGATACGTGTGCATTTTATTTCATGAAACCATGACTGTGGATGGTATGACAAATGATGACTTCTCAGTCGTTGCGATCATGTGCGCCTGCGTGTGCAAACACACGTATGCACACACAGGGCCCCAAAGCCGAATTGATCGGTCAATGTTAATTTTGTTTTGTGCTCATCCTACCCCCTGGTGGACTGTTTGTGGACAATGTAAATGTGAAAGAACGAAACGGGAAATATTCCGGCGCATCCTCGTTTTGTTGAAAAAAAAAAGTGAATGTCATCCGCTGGCAGTATAATATAGTCATGCAAATGACGCATTCGGATGCTGTGATAGCAATCATTTTGCACAGAGGATAAAGAATATATGCCCGCGTGTATGTGTCATACGTTGCTCCGCCATTTGTGTTCAAATAGCCATCGCTTCACGGATTGTCAAACGGTGCCACTGCGCATACTTTTTTTGTGACATTTTGTTTGGTCGTGCGCTGTGCCTTGCCTCTCTAAAGGCTGTGACTCACTGATCTACCTCACAGAGCAACAATGACCGTGAAGGAGAGGCTTCCTTAAATGAGGAAAACAAACGGAGAGGAACTGAAAGAAGATGGCTATCAGGCGCCATCAGATACCTTCATGACACAAGCGGCCGCTTTGAGCGCATCAAATACTTTTTTTGTTTTGAGAAAGGGAACGCTTCACACTGACATCTGGAGTGGACGTTGTTGCTTTTTAAATTGCCGCAGAGCTTTATATACGAGTTTACAGCAGCGTAGCGTTATTTTTATGGATGATGCTTGTGTTGTCATGATACCAAAATGTCGACTTTGGTACAATACCTCCATCAAAAGATTTGTTGTCTTTTAAGCCTATTATTGAAACTCTCATTGAATATTTCACGTTTGACATCCGAACCATACGGGGGAAAACTTGCAGAACGGAGGACATCAGTTATCAGAGGTGGGTGAGGGTGTGGGGGGGGGGCAGGTACTTGTGCTCATAACATGTTCGCGGTGCGCTTTAGAGGACTCACCTCTGATTCACGCACACTCACCGCGGGCAAGGACAAACCACACGGGACGCACACACGTTGAAGTACGCTGATTCACATGCTGGCACACACCAACCGCCGTAACTCCCGCGCATGACCCGAGCGTGAGGTGATTAATCACCTTCCTGTATTAATTACAATTCAAATCAGTTGCCATGGGAACCACCTTCGGAATGTTCAGGAACGACGGTGGACTTCCAGTGAGTCAAGGACCAAGGGGGGGCGGGGGGGAGCCATTCATGACGCCTTACAATGATTCAGCTGGCTGAGTTTTACATTGCCCCCCCCAACACACACACACACACACACACACACACACACACACACACACACACCCTCCCTCTTGAGTTGCCCGAGGTGAACTTCAATTTTGGTCACGGAGAGGCTCGCAGAAGCGGAAAATGCTAGTGTGATGACGGCTAAGAGAGCATCATGTGGATAGGAAAAATAAGATTGGGAAAACACTTGACGTTTGAGGCAAAAGTACGTTGCTTGGCAGTCAAAGGTGCACCTGTTGATTTTTGACGCGTTTCAAATGATATCAAGAAAATAATTTGGGAAACGGGACTGGGCCAAGATATTAATATCCGCTCCAATCAATGACAATACTCTATCGATTATAATTTGGATCAATCGATACGTTTTACTTGATTGTTTGATTTGGATACGGTCAATCCACCAACCCAATACGCCATGGCATTATGGGAAACATGTTTCAAGCATTTAGCCTACAAGCACGTTTCAACGTCTTTGCAAATATGTTTAAATGTCCTCGCAAATACGTTCCAACGGACATACGGTCAAAAATTTCGCCTTCACATCAGCACTCCCACTCCTCCGTAACGTTTGCATTCCTAAAGGAAATAAATACCCTTAATACTTGCGCTATTTATGTAACGACTGGGAAAATGCCTGCTGGGAGACGTGGAAGTCGTTGACAAACCGCGCGTCGCTTGGTTTTCACTAAATGCTTATTCAGGGTTATTTTTGTGAAGCAGTGCGGCCGCTCGCGCGCGGTATTATATTGGAAGCTCAGGTGAAAGCCGGACGTGGTGAATTAACAATGCGCGGTTGTGTGTGTGTGTGTGTGTGTGTGTGTGCGCGCGCATGCGTGTGTGCGTGTGGCTCGCCAGTTGTCATGGTTGCAGCGTTTATCACCTCGTTCAGCCGACATAGAGGCCCAGGGGCACATGTGATTGGATTCAGACAGACAGACAGAGAGACAGACATGGGGAAGGGAGTGTGAGTGAGTGAGTGAGTGAGTGAGAGGGAGGACATATTGGCACAGAGGAGGGCTTAAATGCCAACGCGCTGCGCAGAGGGAGGAGGGGGTAGAAGGCCGCTGGACAAATGTCAACGCTGGGCCTCTTCATGATCATGTAGCGCAGGGGCAAGCGTGGCGCAAAAGTTGATTTTTGCCATCTAGAATAGGGAGTTTGAATGCCTCACATTGCGGGATTTAAGAAGGACCCTTTTGGGCTTCGTTCACGAATCAAGCTCAGCATGTGCATCCATGAGCAAGCCGTTCCAATTTTTGCCCTGCCAGTCAGTCGCAGGGCACATTATTTGTTTTGCGTTGTATCAAATATATATATTTTTTGCATATCATTAATAAAGTTCCAAGGACATGAATCCTTGTCATGTGTGTGACTGTGTCAACAATAGTTGAATGTATGTCATTTTTAACCGATTTATGATTGATTTATCTTAAATTCTAAAATCTTGCTCTTGCACTGTAAAATTCTTTGAGTAATTTTAGTCATTTACTACTTTGCTTTTAAAAGTTCATCATTTTTTTGTTTGTGAATGTTTGTGAAATATACTTTTAAGAATGTCAACGTAGCTTGTGTGTTTAACATAAACTATACCGCTATTTTGCCTCGTCTTGTCCTCAACATACCGGCTTCGACAATGCGACAGTTCCGGGTTGTGAGGCGGGATAAGCCCTCACGATGGATATTTCAGCCAATCGTGGAGCGCTACAAGTGATTCCATGAAACTTGTCAGCCTATCACAGCACCGCTTGTCCCATACTCAGGTGGGGGGGCGGTGCCGCACAGGAAACAAGTAAGCTCATGGGGAATGTGGTCTTTGCTTGAAACTTTTCCTTTAAAATGAAAAAGAGCAGCCAGTTGAATTCAAACTTTCAAAGCAAACATGACTTTTTTTTGTCTTCGTCATTGAGTTGTGTAACGTGTCGATGTTCGCAGTTGACGATTTTTTTTTCGACGACCTCGCGTGTTGTGTTGTGTGCGACTTGTAAACTAGAGAGACGCCGGGTCACTTTTTTTTTTTTTTAGCTGACATTCAGCTGAATAGGCGAAAGCGCCAGAGAGCGCGTGTGTGAATAGACGCATTGTGGGGCTGCCGCCTGCCTGTCTGGTTTAGTGTGTATGTCAGTGTGTGTGTGTGTGGCCTCGGCATGCTTTTCTCTTCCGTGTCGTTTGTGCCACACGCACTCCCCATCATCGCTGCCTGCTGGCTGACACGCTGCGTGGACGGGCAGGAGGACGTTACCGGCGACAGCGAGCTGCCCGCTTGTCTACACTCGCCGCTCGCTTTCGGCTGTTCACGGCGGTGACCGTCAAACAACAACAACAACAACGGAAAGTCCTCGCCATGCCCCAGACTGGCAAATCGAGAAACGCCCCGCCGGTGTCGGACTCCCCGCGGCCCCAAATGGGGGCCTCGGCTGGGGATCCAGAAGGACTCCGAGATGACGAGGGGGACACCGGACAGGACAACCAAGGAGACGAGGACATCATCAAATCTCCAAATGATCCCAAACAGTACAGGTAAAATACACTCGTGTTACACCGGCTGTGCTTTCCTCCCACATTTCCCAAAACATGCATGTTGGATTCACTGTCCTGACGTTTAAATGCGAGATTGAGCGACAGTTTGTCTGTTTGTGCCCTGTGACTGGCTGGCGACCAGTCCAGGCTGTACCCTACCTCTCATCCAGTCAGCTGCAGCAGGACCTGCCAGCTAACTCTCAACCAGGGACAGCGCGACACAGGGACGAGAGAGAGCCATAGCCCCCTCAGAAATCGGTGTTGCTCCTTGATTTCATTTTATGTTTGAACAGTCGAAATTATTGTCTTTGTCTCCGTATGTATCGTCACGCCCCACTTTCACACATTTCATACTCGATTAAGCACATAAAAAATTAGCATTAGCTCTGGCTTTTAGAAATATTCTGCGAGATAGTGACGTGTGAATGTCTGGAACCATGAAATGTTGTATGTTGGTGCTGTTCTAAAGCAAGGACCTCCTGTAATTTTTTACTTGTTACCACCGAGTGACTCCCCTGCCGGTATTTTTTTTCCCCTCCAGAGCTAAAAAGTGGGCCAATAATTTATTTCTTTAAATACAAGGCGAACCTGTTGCTCTAATTGAGGCACAGTGAATACCATTATTTGCCTTTTCACTCTGCAGGTACATTGTGCTGGCCAACGGGCTGCGCGCTCTGCTCATCTCGGACTACAGCAGCCCGGCCGTGTCCAAAGACAACGAGGAAGAGGAGGAGGAGGAAGAAGAAGAAGGTGGCGAAGAGGAGGAAGATGACTCGAGCGAAGAAACGATGGCGGAGTCGGATGAGGGTGGCGACAAAGATGATGACCGGGAGGGGAGGAAGAAGAGAGGAAATGCAGAGAAGCAGGTACACGCTCGGTGATGGTGTCCATTTGGAGTTAAAAATATTTTGTAGCCCACCGTTACACTTTTGAACTGGTCAACACCCCCACTGAAGGGCGATCAATGCAAGCGCCGCAGTCTGGGAATCCCTGGTGTTGAGCAGCTTATCTGAAACTGGCTCAGCAACACACACCGAGGTTATGATCATGAACGAAAACTTCCCAAAATAACTGTAACTAAGATCGGAAAAACATTCTCGCTCATAAAGTTGGTTCGATCCCGGCTCCGGCCTCCCTGTGTGGAGTTTGCATGTTCTCCCCGTGCCCGCGTGGGTTTTCTCCGGGTACTCCGGTTTCCTCCCACATTCCAAAAACATGCATCGGGAAATGGATAGATGGATGGAGATAGATAAATAGATATATAAATGTGTGCGTGTGCGTGTGTGTGTGTGTGTGTGCGTGCGTGCGTGCGTGCGTGTTCCCTGATGGCTAAAATTGCCACATGTGATGCAAACTCTACTTGTGCTCGTTTTGTGTGTGCCTGTGCGCGTGTGTGTGTTTGTGTGTGTGTGAGCGTGTACACGCACGTGCGTGCGTGCATGTGTGTGTGTGTCAGTCTGCAGCCGCCTTGTGTATCGGAGTGGGCAGCTTCAGTGACCCCAGCGACCTCCCCGGCCTTGCCCACTTTCTGGAACACAGTGAGTAATTACAGTGAAAGGATGGACACGGATCGTGTGTGTGTGCGCACGTGCGTTGAACTAGCTCTGAAAGGTTAATTCATTGGAGTCTTTTACATGCTCACCCATCACCGATTACATTTTGTGTGCGACAACCTCTCATACATGTTTGTACCTTCAAGTTGGACGAGTTAAAAGAGAGACCAGAAAGGGGCACGGTCACCCGTGTTGAACGTCCCCGGGAAGTTACTTTGACACTGCAGTAACTTGGTTGGACCCCTTTCCCCCACTTGCCGTTGTTATTCAAATCTGCAACCTAACACGCGTGCCCTTATCGCTTCCAAATCCAAGTTTGAAAAGGAAATTGCAAAGAAAATTCGGCTTCCCCGACAGCAGTGCTCCTCAAAACGCTTTCGTCTTACCAGGAGTACTCCCCTCACTTCTACGTGTTGATAATCCTCTATACAAGCGATTAACCAATAAAAAAAATTTTTTTTGGTTGCTTAATTTCAATCAATTCATAGGAATGGCCTTTTTTTTTTTATCTCAAACATTAATAAAAATGTAGATGTTGGCTGGAAAATAAATGATGTCATTCTTAAAAATATATATCAAAATAAAGCATAAATCTGCCTCTGTTATCACATTTAAGAAAAAAAATAAATGGAGCGCCCTTAAATGTATTTATTTCTGTATTGCTTTCCATCCATACAAAAGAAAAATTGAAAGTTGTATTTGACTTTCTGAGTGCTCAGTGACCTTTTTTTTTTTTTGTCTTGCTCTCGACAAATTTACCACATACTTAATTTTAAAAAACTAAAACTAATACTAAAGCTCACAAAAACTCAAACAAAGCATTTTCTAAAGAAGAAAAAAATTCAGAAAAACCACAAAACTTGAGGTGTGCGTCTGTGCCACGGGTTACTTATCTGTGAAAAAAAAATTATTCAATGTTCCGTACACCCCCGGTTGCGAAACACTGCCCGGCAGTTCTAAAATGCCAACATCGACGCCATTCTTATAAGGTGAAGCCATTGATAGGCGGTGGCTTATCTTTGACATTTTTGGAAATGGCGGCTTATGTGCTCTGTCCGCACACCGCGCCAGTGGTTTTCATGGGCAGTGAGAAGTACCCCTCGGAAAACGGCTTTGATGCCTTCCTCAAGAAGCACGGCGGCAGCGACAACGCCTCCACCGATTGCGAGAGGACCGTCTTCCAGTTTGACGTGCAGAGGAAAAGCTTCAAAGAGGCACTCGACAGGTGAGAGCGGATCAGAGGTGCTTTTGTGGTGTGCGGGGGAACAGCGGAGCCGAGCGGGGATCACATTTTAAGCGGCCAAACGGTGCGACCGGGGCGATTAAAAACACTCCCGCCTGCCCTTTCTACATCAACGGGATGCAGTCAACGCTGCTGTTTAGCTACGGGCCTGATTAAGAAAGTTGTGGAACCGCCGGGATTTGATCGATCTGACGCAACGGACATAATTATTGCGCCGACGGCAGTAGAAAGGAACACTGCACAGTTAGCCCGGCGTTACTTTTACATTTAAATGATCGAGGAGTTTGATCGAATGCAACATTGCCACAAAAAGATTTTATTTTGTGGCAACTAATCTGTTGGGGGGGCTCCCTAAACGGGTTGCAAGAGAGAACAAAAGTTTACAAAGTGAGTACGGCATTACGAATGATGTAAGAGTTGTTGATTTGAAGTAATGACTTCAACATGGCCGTCCTGGGACTCTTTTGTGGCAGTGATCTGGTGGGGGCTGCCTAAATGGGTTGCAGCAGAGAGCAAAGGTTGTTGCATTTATTTTGCATTGAAACGAGGAAAGACTTTTCGATCTCGCGGGATTTGAGCAATCTAATGTAACGTAGCTCCAATTGGATTTCATTTTCGCTCGACGCTGCCTAAACGGGTAGCGGGAGAGCAGGTCTGATCCGGCATTTTTGTGAGATCTCTCTATGAAAGAGGCTAAATCATTCTTCTCTTTGCCCTCTATTTTAGGTGGGCTCAGTTCTTCATCTGCCCCCTGATGATCCGAGAGGCTATCGACAGGGAAGTGGAGGCCGTCGACAGCGGTGAGTCCGCTCGTTTTCGGATTCCAATCCCGAAAACCGCCCGTTGTCTTTCCTGAGCCTTTCCCTCTGCCGCCCGTCAGAATACCAGCTGGCCAAACCGTCTGATTCGCACAGGAAGGAGATGCTGTTTGGCAGTTTGGCCAAACCGGGACACCCCATGGGCAAATTCTGCTGGGGTGAGTTCAGCGGAGGAGGCTCGCCATGTTTTCCTTGTTCCAAGGGCGGGACAATTTGTTGATTTTGAGTGATGTGATCGGTCGCCAGGGAACGCGCAGACTCTGAAGCAAGAGCCCAAGAAGAAGAAGATCAGCGTCTACAACCGACTACGCGCCTTCTGGGAAAGACACTACTCTGCACATTACATGACCCTGGCTGTCCAGTCCAGAGGTCAGTAGGATCTTTCTTGATTGGGCTCAAGCCCCCAGCACAAGCCTAGCGCAATCCGCGGTCGAAGGTGGCGTCATCGGTGGAATCGGTCGACACAAACAATTCTAGCTCGAAACGCTAATGAGCAACTTTAAGCGCGGATGGTTGTTCGTCTCTGTTCGTCTCTGTGTGCCGTGCGGTTGGCTGGCAACCGGTTCAGGGTGTCCCCCGCCTACTGCCCGAAGACAGCTGGGATAGTCCCCAGCACGCCCCGCGACCCTTGTGAGGATAAAGCGGGTCAAAAAATGGATGGATGGATTATTGATTCTAAAACAATTTGATTGTGACCGCCATTAATCCATACCCAAGTTTTAGCTCTTCAGCTTCAGAGGTTGGTGACCTCTGACCTAAACCACACAAGGTAAATAGACCGGGCTTTTGGCACCATCTTGTGACATCACAGAGCGGTTTTCAAAGCGTTGCGGGAAAAATGAGTCTTGAGTTTTAGCTTTCACAGAAAAAAAAAAAAAAACACAAGCGGCATGTATCTCAATATGCAGTATTTTGAAGTGAAACAATTCGGGTTTTTTGCCACTAAAATCTAGTAGTGCAGTTTCGCAAGGTCAGATCGTGACCAAAGCCGTTTTGTACGATGAAAGTTCAGCTCTGCAGTGATCCACATGCGGCATCAGTCAACAACCTGCTTGTGGGCAGATTGACAGAACTCTTTAACGAGCAATCCGGTGATTTAATTGACTGCTAATGAAGCCGCAAAGCTCTAATGAGGAGCCGCTCCACGTGTCCGTCGACGGCCGAGCTCGGCTAATTATTCGCAGCTCGCCTCGGGTCGCCGCCTTCATCCCGGTGATGTCATCGTCGGGTCTTGGCGCGTTCTCGCAGGAAATATCAGGCGGCTCATTAACAGCTGCGGAGGCGTCCCAGGCTGACTCGTGTTGACATTTGTGACCAAAAAAAAAAAAATTTGAAAATCGCAAATCATGGTCTTTGCAGAATTGTCTTTTTATAATCTCACTGGATTTGAGCAAATATTGACCACAGAACAGGAAATGGAACCTTTTGTGACCCAAAGCAGCACACAACTCTCTCACACTGGCGTCGCTGTGTCATGCGATCTAGCGAAAGTAATTTAAAAAAATCCACATGTAATTGATGCCCACCCAAAAAGGTTTGTAATTTTCCCTTGATGCCACAAGATGGCGGCAAAGCAATTTAGGCAAGGCTACGTTCTGACGAAATGAAACTCCTCCACTCAGTTCTATTTAGCGACTTGCCGTTTTTGGTCGATAACGTTTGGAAAATTCCCCACAAAATCGCTTGAAATCTGCCAAAGCTGCCATGCGTCGCTCCGCAGCGATTTTTGCGCCAGCCAAAAAGACACCACAATTTGACAGAAGAGCTGAGAACAGCAGCGTAGTTAACGCCAAGCAAATCCATACCTGGATGTCGTAAATCATGAGGATGATCGTGATCGCTGATGTTGTGACTGACTGACACACTTGTGATTGTGCGCCCGCAGAGAAGCTGGACACCCTGGAGATGTGGGTGCGCGAGATCTTCAGCCAGGTGCCCAACAAGTGAGTGTTGCTCTTCTTCACACCGGAGATGACCTCCGCACTCTCATTTCACCGCCCACGGCAAAATTCATTGACTCGTTTAAGTTGACTTGAGTTCAAGCAGATGCCAAGAATTTCCCCGCGTTTACTCTCCGACAGCGAAAGATCCAATATTTAAAAAAAAAAAAAAAAGCCTTTTCCAAAGGAATCATTCTTAATTTTTTGACTAACATCGTCAGATAAAGGAAACGGTGCCAATTAATGACATTTACAACTTTTATCTAAATGTACGGTGGTCATTTTTAGGTCATTTTTAATCAAAGTTATCCGATTATTGTTGTGTTTTTTTTTTTTTGTTGTTTTTTTTTGAACTAAAATAGAATACTGTAATCTCCGAATGATAAAGTCACCTAAATAAAAGCCGCAACAGCTAAATTTAGCCATAAAAACAAACGTGTCCATTTCTTGGCCACTTTGTGTTTTTAGCCACAGGTCTTTTTTTACAGAAGAGATCAAAATTTGTATTTACATGAAACAACAGCAGATGCTTTTTTTTCCACATTTTCGATTAATTCAGTAAAATAATACAATTTAATTGCATATAATTTACCTTGCTCGATTGAACAAATAGTCGGAATAAGAAACACCGTGGCCCACGAATAGCAAAAATCCGTTTCTAATTGGCCCATTATAAATACATTAAAAAAAAAAAATCAATAGTTTTTTGGTTGGAATTTGATGGTGTGAGACCTTAATAGCACTCTTCTCCCAAGACATTTTGATTTTCACTTTACTAGCACTTTTATGGTTGAATGTATTTATTTATTTAAATGGCTTTTTCTTGTGATCTTGCGCGTTCATGTCGGCAGCGGCCTTGCCAAGCCAGACTTCTCCAACATGCTGGATCCCTTTGACACGCCATCTTTTAACAAACTATACAGAGGTAAACGATCATTTATGTCGATATTTGGCGTCAGGATGCTCAAAATCTGTCCGCTGAGGCGAAGAGGTGGTGTGTTGTTGTCATCGTGGAATACTTGAAGGTCACTGCTGTACTGTTGTGTTTGTGTTGCCTGCCTGCAGTCATCCCCGTTCGGAAGGTGCATGCCTTAAATATCACTTGGGCGCTCCCCCCTCAAGAAAAGCACTACAGGTGAGTGTTCTGGAGTAGTGAGTCCCAAACTACGCAAAGGGTACACCCTCCAAAGAATGCGCAAGAAGAAGGGCCCTATTTTCATGAACAGCGCAAGTCTAGGGCAAAGTGTAGCTGTGGATAACTGTGGATAGGGGTGGACTTTTCTTTCTTTTGGCATTTTTGTAGTCAGGCCCAGGATGAAAGGGGCGTTTGCGCCGATGTGGGAGTGAGCACAGACGGCTTATTTCCCCGTCCAGTAAACTGCAATACAATGCACTTTAAAGTCAGTGCACGAGAGACGCGTACTGGCAAACAGACCACTTGCGGATGATGTAAATTTGGCCAAGGCAGTCACAGATATCACCACTGTGAACTGGGCACTTAGAAAGCCTTTCCCCGCTGAGTGTTTGTATCCCTTCAAAATAATCATTAGTGTGGCAAATAAACAATTCATTAAAAAGGCATGAAGCTGTTTAAAATCCACTCCCGGTTGAAGTTTACTGTCAAACTAAACATAAAACATAGACGATTGCACGCCGCGTATTCAAAACAACCGAACAAAGTTGTCTTAAGAACGGTCCGCAAACTTAATGCTAACATAGTGTATCATGGAAAATGCCATTGAGATGCTAATAGTTAGCGTCGATAATCACCGTTTTGTAAGCTTTTATTCAACAGATATTTGAACACAAATGGTGGCGAAACATATGTAGACAGATATTATTTTAATACCCACAGGTAGATGTTGTTTATTTTACAAATTACTAATAATATAGCATTTGATGGAGTCACAGTAAGTGGTACAGGTACAAATTTTTCATTTGCGTCCGCATGCTTTTTGATGATATATCTCAAGGCACCGCTATATTTTTGTGACTTTACACTGAAACATTTTTTTTGTTTAGCACATGAACATTTTTGATGTAGCAAAGAACAAAATGTAACAAGAGGGTCATATCAATAAAATACAGTACACAAATCCAACACCGCCCCCACCTCGTTGTCTTGAGGGGATTCGATTTTCTCGTCCTAACAATGTTTTTCCTTCGCAGAGTGAAGCCTCTTCACTACATATCGTGGCTGATTGGCCACGAAGGCCCAGGAAGCATCCTCTCAACGCTCAGGAGGAAGTGAGGAGTTTCTCTTTGCTTTTCTCATGTGAAAGCGCTCCAAATAAAACCCAATTTAAAGGTCTTCAATTTACTGGGGGACACACACACAGGCTGTTTTTTTTTTCCCCACAAGAGCCTCTCAGCCTCTTGTTACTAAATGCCCCCCCCCCCCCACCAAAAAAGCTTCTCTCAGTCATCTCACAATACAAAGCAGCCCTCCAAAAAACACCCTCCCTCATGTCGACACCACTCAGCGGCTCAGATAGAACGTTCCAGACGCTTTGTTTCCCCGCGCTTGATGAATGACGACAGCGGACGACTTGGAGAGCGCTCAAAGCCAGTCGAGTGCTTTGCTGTGTTAAGTGGGGTGCGGCGTAAAGTGCCCCCTCAGTGGTTATTTGGGCCCGGGAGGCAATGAAGCCTCGTGTCCTTTTCACCCCCCCCCCTCCCACCCCCTCTGTATTTTCAGTCGGTCAGTCATATCCATAGTTGAGAACGAATGTTCTTTTATGAGACTGGAAGAAGGAAAAAAACGGATTCGCACACAGTTGCTGATCGAAATTTTCATTTTCTGTCACATCAAAATACAGGGATTAGCAAAAAAAAATGAGACTCACAAAGTTTTGTTTTCCTCCCCATATGAAAAAGATGAACATCACTTGAAGTCAGTAAACTTTTCACCAATGGTCTCGCCTATGAAAGATTTCAACCTCGGTTGTCACACGAACCCTCACGTCAAAAACTACAGCAGTTGTTTTTCTCCCCACAAAAACCGTTGACATTTCGTTTGAAGTGTACGGTGGCTTATTTGGACAAGTGGCTATTGGATTTTTTTTTTTTTTTCTTTTTCAGCAAAGTAGGCAGGGCATTTAATTACCGTTAATCAATGCTCAACGTGGATGATCGCAGGTGCTGGGCTGTCAATCTGTTCGGAGGTAACAGCGAAAGCGGCTTTGATCAAAACACCACCTACTCCATTTTCTCCATCTCCATCACGCTCACCGACGAAGGTTTCCAGAACTTCTACCAGGTGACCTATCTCCCATTCTCCCTCCCCACCTCTTCTATTTTGGTCCAGCCCTGCTCCAGTATTTGCCTCATTGATAGATACAACAGGGTTATTTCAGGGAAGCGCCGAGTGCTATCAGTTGCCACGGCAACGCCGGCTAACCAGGCACTCAAGCAGCAAAGGAGCTGATTTTTATAGGACTGTCTTATTGGAAAATAACTGCTCTTGAAGGGTCGCCACGGACTCGAGGACACCCTTTACATCCACATCCATCCAATATGTATTACCGAATAAGAGATGTGTTTTTCATTTCAATTTCTGCAGGTGACCCACCTGGTGTTCCAGTACCTCAAGATGCTGCAGATCCTCGGACCGCAGAAAAGGCACAAATAGAAGCACACGCTCGCACAAACATATTTCAACCTCCTACAGTATGCAATAGTTGCACATGGGCACCAAAACTCTCAAATATTTCTGGATACTATTGTCGTGCCTGCCAGATTTGTACGGTACCTAAAATGTGGAGCTAGCTATGTTATTTCTAGTGCCAGGTACTTTTGCTGCGACTTGATACCGAGGTTTTTGCTCCAGAAATTGTTCTCATAGGAAATCTATTTTTTTGTGAGTTGAGTTTTTTTGTTTTTTTTAATCGACAAAATAAGATAAGGTGAGACGCTCGGTCATCCGGGAGGGGCTCAGAGTCGAGTCGCTTTTCCTACACGTCGAGAGGAGCCAGATGAGGTGGCTCCGGCATCTGATTAAGATGCCTCCTGGACACCTCCCTGGTGAGTTCTTCCGGGCATGTCCCCCCGGCAGGAGGACCCGGGGACGACCCAGGACACGCTGGGGAGACTATGTCACCCAGCTGGCCTGGGAACGCCTCGGGATTCCCCTTGAAGAGATGGAAGAAGTGGCTGGGGAGAGGCAAGTCTTGGCTTTCCTGCTAAAGCCGCTGCCCCCGCGACCCGACCCCGGAGATCAGTAGAAAATGGATGGATGGACAAAATGAGTTGTCGCATATATTACTTTGGTGTTCAGCAGTTGTCGTTGGATTGGACAGTGGCTCTTTTATACATGCGTTGAGAAATGTAACATGAAAAAAATGAAATGTGGTAAGAGCACGCATTTCGCCCGTGTTTTGTCCATATTTAAAATGCCACATTTTTACTCCTCTAATTGTCTTTCTCGTCGCACGCTCAGGATATACGAAGAGATTCAGAAGATCGAGGCCAACGAATTTCGCTATCAGGAGGAGGTAGGGGCCCCACGCCGTTCGGGCACCGCCTGCTCCGCGTCATTCTTTCAACCGTGTAATCCCTGTTCTGTCTTTTCAGAGCGACCCTATCGAACACGTGGAGGACATCTGTGAGAACATGCAGCTCTTCCCCAAGGAAGACTTGCTGACGGGAGACCAGCTGATGTTTGACTTCAGTCGCGAGGTGGCCAGCTTGGAATTCATTGGACTTTACTTTTGTTTTACATTTTTGCTTTGTGTGGAAAGTGAGACGGAAGCTTTGCACTTGCACCCCAACCCCACCCCCCTCTCACTCCCTCCCGCCTTCCTCTGTGAGATTGTTCCTGCATAAAGAAACACTGACAGAAGGAAATGTGTTCCGTGCTTTCATGCGCGTGTGTGTGGGTGTGTGCAGGTGATTGGTGCAGCGCTGTCCCTGCTCACCCCCGAGAAAGCCAACCTGATGCTGTTGTCGCCAGAACACGAGGGCCGTTGTCCCCTCAGGGAGAAGTGGTTTGGAACACACTACAGCGTGGAGGGTGAGTGTGTTGTTCGTGTTTGTGTGTGTGTGTCGGGGAACGCGCGCGTGTGGCAAGAATTTCATCGTTTCAGATTTTTCATGATAGTTTTAATTTTGTTTTGACTTCTGCCTTTTTAAAAAAAAATCTGTTAGTTCAAATTAGTTTTTGAAGCTAGTTTAGTCATTTTTACTCATTTTTATTTTTTTCCTGGACTGCTTTGTTTTAGATTTTATTAGTTTTAGTATTAGTTTTAGTGGTTTTGTTTTTTTTTTTTTTTTTTAATTATAGTGTATTTGTCAAGTGCACAATTAAAAAAAAGGTCACTAAGTATTCTGTAATAATTTAAATGAAAGTACAATTCTTAAGTAAGTGTTCCTCCCTTCTGTGTGGCCGTACCGTACAGCAATACCGAAATACAGTAAAATTTAAAATGAACCCCGACAACTCAGGTATGATATTAACGAACAAAGACGAAAACAAAGGACTTTTTTTTTTTTTTTTTTGCGATAATTAGATGGTTTTATAAATGTAAGATGCCGTTGGTTTTTTTTTTTTAAGCAATTATTTTGCCAACCAAAAAATGTAGTTGTCGTTATTTTGTTAGCTCATGTTAACTACAAAAACCTTGTTGTGTGCTGGCACCTTAATACATTGTCTTATCCTCTTTCCCCGCAGCAACGTTCACCCCAGCGTAAAGCACTCAAGCCATTTATCTCTGTCGCTTTCGATGACAGTATATTGTGTTTACAAACAAAAGGCCTCTCACACACACATCGCGTCATCTTCCTTTTGAAAAATGTACCCGGCTAGCCTCCTGTGATGCTCGCAGAGGACGTTCTTATTTCATCGAGGCACAAGTTAAATGTGCCTGACACTTGTGCCTTCCTTGCTCACAGACATCCAACCGGAGTGGATGGAGCGTTGGACAGGAAATTTGGAGCTGAGTCGCCAGCTTTTCCTTCCTGCGGAGAACAGGTTCATCGGTGGGTGACTGGACCACACTCAATATTTTCACTTTTATCAGTAGTCACAGAATGTGCATTTAAAAAAAAAAAAATACTGGTTGGTACTACTTTGGTTTGGGTTTTGGACTTGTTGAGCAAAATAATACATGTCAATGTTTGCAGTATTGCAAAAAAAAAAAAAACCAAAAACTGTTTGACATACGGTAATTTGAATGTGTTATCCTTCCCTTGGCCCCATTTTATGCCTCTAATTTCATTTGTAATTATCATTTCATAACTTGTCACAGCGTGACAAAAAGGCCAACCAGACACTGGAGAGACAGAAAGCATTCTGGCATTATCCATCCATCCATTTTCCGATCCGCTTCTCCTCACAAGGGTTGCAGGGTGTGCTGGAGCCTATCCCAGTTGTCTTCGGGCAGTAGGCGGGGGACACCCGAAACTGGTTGCCAGCCAATCGCAGGGCACACATCGACGAACGACCATCCGCGCTACATTCAAACCTTGCTAGCAGCTTGAGAGGCTAGAAAATGATTGACGTTTTCATTCACTCGTCCGTGGACGTTTCGAGCATGGTCACGGAATGATTAAAAAATCGGACCTTAAGGCACCATTGTAGACAATCTCAGTTTTGCATTTGTGAATGGAGCATTTTTCAACATCCCGCGGCAGTTTGCTCGTCGGCTTGCAATTGGGGCAAAACGAGGAATCCATCGCTGGCAAATAGCAGGCCAATCTCCAGGCCCGCCGTGGCTAGTTATTACAAGCGTTTTGTCGCCGCAGTGTAGCCTGAGCAGCGGCACCGAGCACCTCCGTCTTGCCTTTATGACGGCAGTGTTCTCATCTTCTAATGGCTCCGCTTTCAACTGAGGCTGCCTGAAAGGACGAAATGCTTTTTGGGGAGAGATTCACAACGCGACGGCATCCATTGTCGACAACCTATGCTACGTGCTAAAGGTGTCAACGAGGGTATTTATTTATTTATTTTAGGAAATTGGTAACTGGTTGAATGGTGTTCCGTCAGTCATTTCAACATTCCCCGGTTAATAATCAGGGCTTTAATAAAGGTGTTATCCATTCTGTTGCTAAGCTCCAATTCAGACGAGGCCCGCCACGCTAATCACACGGAGAGCATATTAGCATTCATCCCCTCTGTGTTATCTCTGATATAATTCCAGCATCATTATGTTTCTGTCTTTCAACTTTTTTTTTTTTTTTTTTAGCAACAAAACTTTTTTTTTTTCCATGAAAAAAGCTCGGTTTACATTTGCCTGTTTTTTCTTTTTAA